ATATGGCGACGGTAGCTCGGGCAACGGCGGAGATGCATACGGCGACGGCGGCAGGGCCGGCGCCGGGGATGGTGATGGTAGAAGGAGCAACGGCGGGTGGCTAGGGTGACGGCAGGGTTGGTGACGATGGCTCAGGCACCGGTGGGGTTGGCAGCTGTTGGAGGGGCGACGGCGGTGACGGTGATGTTGGAAGGGGTGACGTCGGGTTGCTAGGGCGATGGCGGGGTTGGCGACGGTGGCAGAGGTGATGGCGACAGCGGTGACGGTGTTTAGGGTGGCGGCGGGGATGGCGACGGTTGCTCGGGCAACGGCGGGGATGCATATGGCGACGGCGGCAGGGACAGCGCCGGGGATGGTGATGGTAGAAGGGGCGACGGCGGGTGGCTCGGTTGACGGCAGGGTTGGTGACGGTGGCTCAGGCAGCGCTGGGGTTGGCAGCGGTTGCAGGGGCGACGGCGGTGACGGTGATGTTGAAAGGGGAGACCGCGGGGTACTAAGGCGATGGCGAGCTTGGTGACGGTGGCAGGGCCGACGGCGGGGATGGTGACGGTGGCAGGGGTGACGCCGGGGATGGCGAAGGTGGCAGGGTTGATGGCGTCAGGGGCGACGGTGCTTTGGGTGATGTCTGGGATGGCGACGGTTGCTCGGGCAACGGCGACGGCGGCGGTGGAAGGGGCGGTGAAGGGGTGATGTCGGGTTGCTAGGGCGATGACGGGGTTGATGACGGTGGCAGGGGAGACGGCAGGGATGGCGACGGTGGAAGCGGATAAGGCGACGGTAAAAGGGGCGACGGCGGATTTCTTGACGGTGGCTCGAGTGACGGTGGGGTTGGCGACGGTGGCAGGGGAGACGGTACTTTGGGTGATGGCGAGATTGGCGACGGTGGCAGAGGTGATGGCGGCAGCGGTGACGGCAGGGATGCATATGGCGACGGTAGCTCGGGCAACGGCGGGGATGCATATGCCGATGGCGGCAGGGACGGCGCCGGGGATGGTGATGGTAGAAGGAGCAACGGCGGGTGGCTAGGGTGACGGCAGGGTTGGTGACGGTGTCAGGGGCGACGGCGGGGATTGCGACGGTGGATGGGACGACGGCGGGGTTCGTGACGGTGGCTCTGGTGACGGTGGGGTTGGCGACTGTGGCGGGGGAGACGGTGGCAGTTGTGATGGCGGCAGGGGCGACGGTGGTTTGGGTGATGGCGGAGGTGGCCGAGGTGATGGCGGCAGCGGTGACGGTGTTTAGGGTGGCGGCGGGGATGGTGACGGCAGCTCGGGCAACGGCGGAGATGCATACGACGACGGCGGCAGGGCCGGCGCCAGGGATGGTGATGGTAGAAGGAGCAACGGCGGGTGGCTAGGGTGACGGCAGGGTTGGTGACGATGGCTCAGGCACCGGTGGGGTTGGCAGCTGTTGGAGGGGCGACGGCGGTGACGGTGATGTTGGAAGGGGTGACGTCGGGTTGCTAGGGCGATGGCGGGGTTGGCGACGGTGGCAGAGGTTGTGGCGGCAGCGGTGACGGCAGGGATGCATATGGCGACGGTAGCACGGGCAACGGCGGGGATGCATATGCCGACGGCGGCAGGGACGGCGCCGGGGATGGTGATGGTAGAAGGAGCAACGGCGGGTGGCTAGGGTGACGGCAGGGTTGGTGACGGTGGCAGGGGCGACGGCGGGGATTGCGACGGTGGATGGGACGACGGCGGGGTTCGTGGCGGTGGCTCTGGTGACGGTGGGGTTGGCGACTGTGGCGGGGGAGACGGTGGCAGTTGTGATGGCGGCAGGGGCGACGGTGGTTTGGGTGATGGCGGGGATGGCGAAGGTGGCCGAGTTGATGGCGGCAGCGGTGACGGTGTTTAGGGTGGCGGGGGGGATGGCGACGGCAGCTCGGGCAACGGCGGAGATGCATACGGCTACGGCGGCAGGGCCGGCGCCGGGGATGGTGATGGTAGAAGGAGCAACGGCGGGTGGCTAGGGTGACGGCAGGGTTGGTGACGATGGCTCAGGCACCGGTGGGGTTGGCAGCGGTGGCAGGGGCGACGGCGGTGACGGTGATGGTGGAAGGGGAGACGGCGGGGTACTAAGGCGATGGCGAGCTTGGTGACGGTGGCAGGGCCGACGGCGGGGATGGTGACGGTGGCAGGGGTGACGGCGGGGATGGCGAAGGTGGCAGGGGTGACGCCGGAGATGGCGACGGTGGCAGGGGTGATGGCGTCAGGGGCGACGGTGCTTTGGGTGATGGCTGGGATGGCGACGGTTGCTCGGGCAACGGCGACGGCGCCGGTGGAAGGGGCGGTGAAGGGGCGACGGCGGGTGGCTAGGGCGATGGCGGGGTTGGTGACGGTGGCAGGGGAGACGGCAGGGATGACGACGGTGGAAGCGGGTATGGCGACGGTGGATGGGGTGATGGCGGTTTTCGTGACGGTGGCTCGGGTGACGGTTGGGTTGGCGATGGTGGCAGGGGCGACGGTACTTTGGGTGATGGCGACGGTGGCAGAGGTGATGGCGGCAGCGGTGACGGCAGGGATGCATATGGCGACGGTAGCTTGGGCAACAGCGGGGATGCATATGCCGACGGCGGCAGGGACGGTGCCGTGGATGGTGATGGTAGAAGGAGCAACGGCGGGTGGCTAGGGTGACGGCAGGGTTGGTGACGATGGCTCAGGCACCGGTGGGGTTGGCAGCTGTTGGAGGGGCGACGGCGGTGACGGTGATGTTGGTAGGGGTGACGTCGGGTTGCTAGGGCGATGGCGGGGTTGGCGACGGTGGCAGAGGTGATGGCGGCAGCGGTGATGGCAGGGATGCATATGGCGACGGTAGCTCGGGCAACGGCGGAGATGCATATGCCGATGGCGGCAGGGCCGGCGCCGGGGATGGTGATGGTAGAAGGAGCAACGGCGGGTGGCTAGGGTGACGGCAGGGTTGGTGACGATGGCTCAGGCACCGGTGGGGTTGGCAGCTGTTGGAGGGGCGACGGCGGTGACGGTGATGTTGGAAGGGGTGACGTCGGGTTGCTAGGGCGATGGCGGGGTTGGCGACGGTGGCAGAGGTGATGGCGACAGCGGTGACGGTGTTTAGGGTGGCGGCGGGGATGGCGACGGTTGCTCGGGCAACGGCGGGGATGCATATGGCGACGGCGGCAGGGACAGCGCCGGGGATGGTGATGGTAGAAGGGGCGACGGCGGGTGGCTCGGTTGACGGCAGGGTTGGTGACGGTGGCTCAGGCAGCGCTGGGGTTGGCAGCGGTTGCAGGGGCGACGGCGGTGACGGTGATGTTGAAAGGGGAGACCGCGGGGTACTAAGGCGATGGCGAGCTTGGTGACGGTGGCAGGGCCGACGGCGGGGATGGTGACGGTGGCAGGGGTGACGCCGGGGATGGCGAAGGTGGCAGGGTTGATGGCGTCAGGGGCGACGGTGCTTTGGGTGATGTCTGGGATGGCGACGGTTGCTCGGGCAACGGCGACGGCGGCGGTGGAAGGGGCGGTGAAGGGGTGATGTCGGGTTGCTAGGGCGATGACGGGGTTGATTTCGGTGGCGGGGGAGACGGCAGGGATGGCGACGGTGGAAGCGGATAAGGCGACGGTAAAAGGGGCGACGGCGGATTTCTTGACGGTGGCTCGAGTGACGGTGGGGTTGGCGACGGTGGCAGGGGAGACGGTACTTTGGGTGATGGCGAGATTGGCGACGGTGGCAGAGGTTGTGGCGGCAGCGGTGACGGCAGGGATGCATATGGCGACGGTAGCTCGGGCAACGGCGGGGATGCATATGCCGATGGCGGCAGGGACGGCGCCGGGGATGGTGATGGTAGAAGGAGCAACGGCGGGTGGCTAGGGTGGCGGCAGGGTTGGTGACAGTGTCAGGGGCGACGGCGGGGATTGCGACGGTGGATGGGACGACGGCGGGGTTCGTGACGGTGGCTCTGGTGACGGTGGGGTTGGCGACTGTGGCGGGGGAGACGGTGGCAGTTGTGATGGCGGCAGGGGCGACGGTGGTTTGGGTGATGGCGGAGGTGGCCGAGGTGATGGCGGCAGCGGTGACGGTGTTTAGGGTGGCGGCGGGGATGGTGACGGCAGCTCGGGCAACGGCGGAGATGCATACGGCGACGGCGGCAGGGCCGGCGCCGGGGATGGTGATGGTAGAAGGAGCAACGTCGGGTGGCTAGGGTGACGGCAGGGTTGGTGACGATGGCTCAGGCACCGGTGGGGTTGGCAGCTGTTGGAGGGGCGACGGCGGTGACGGTGATGTTGGAAGGGGTGACGTCGGGTTGCTAGGGCGATGGCGGGGTTGGCGACGGTGGCAGAGGTTGTGGCGGCAGCGGTGACGGCAGGGATGCATATGGCGACGGTAGCACGGGCAACGGCGGGGATGCATATGCCGACCTCGGCAGGGACGGCGCCGGGGATGGTGATGGTAGAAGGAGCAACGGCGGGTGGCTAGGGTGACGGCAGGGTTGG